AAAAAGAGAAAAAACCACTTAATTTTCCAGTTTTATCACCAGCCAGAGGGGCCTCGGAGCGATTTTAGCTTTAAAAGAGAGAAAACTACCCAACCACCCCCCTAAAAAGGGATATAATTTTATTACAGATGGATTATTTAATAGTATTTTTTTAATGGGGGGGTGGAGGGGTGGGGACAGGGACAGCACATCGTGGGTTATTTTGGGGGTGACGGGAATTTGGGGGGGTCCCCAAATTAGGACAGAGGGATGAGCGTGTCCTTGGTCACCTCTCCTAACCCTGGGTGGGGGGGAAAGAACCCCGGTTTAGGGTGAGGAAGGGAGGGGTGTCACTGTGAGGACCCCAGTGTGGGTGTCCCCAGTGTTGGGGACACCCCGTGTGTGGTGGTGGTGGTGGGTCCCAGATCCCCATCCCGGGAAGGAGAAACACCCCCGGGATGGGGGGGAAGGGGGTGCCGGCCCCCCAGCAGTGTGCCCGGCTTGCTTTGGGCTGGTGTCCCCTCTACCCCCGTGTGTCCCCCCGTGTGTCCCCCTCGGTTGCTGTCCGTCCCACCCCCCGCTCACGCTCGCTCTGGGTCTCGGTTCAGTATTTTGTAAGATGTCACCGATGTTCGTCCTTGTATAAATAAACTGTTTCTGGCAATACCTGCTGGCCCCCACTGCCTTTGGGGGGTGGGGAGGGTCCCCGTGTCCCTGTTCCCATCCCTTGGTGTCCCCAAGGCTTCCTGGTGTCCCCTTGTGCCTCGGTTTCCCCACCTACAGCAACTGGTGCAGGGAGGGGACCACCGTGTCCCCCCCAGCGTGTCTGGAGGGGCTCTGTCCGTCCCTGTCACCCCCCCACTGTGGCTGGGGGGGCTCTGTCCCCCTCCCAGCCCTGCCCTGGGACCCCCTAGCTCTGCCTGTGCGCCCCGTCTTTGCAGGACTCGGCCCGGTGGGTTGGTTTTGGTGCTTTATTTGTAATGAACGAGGTGACCCCCCGCCTCCGTGGTATAAGGGGGCTCCGGCGTTGGGGGGGGGTTCATCCCGGCTCAGAGAGGGGAGAACTGGGAGAACTGGGGCAGCTGGAGGGGGGGGTGTGGAAGGTCAGTGACCCCTGGGCTGGGGCTGTCCCTATGCTGTGTCCCCAGACCTGCTGGGCACGGGGCACCCCCAGCTCTGCCCCCCCGGGGGGGTCCTGCTGCCTGGGGGAGGGGGGACAGGGCTGTTAGTGCAACAACTGGGGGGGCCTGGAGGGGTTCCCCTGGACTGAAGCCACCGGCGATGGGCACAGCAAAGGGCAGAGCCGGGATGGTGGTGGATCACGGGGGGGCAGGACTCCCAAATCGATTGGGGGTGGTCCGCTGGGGCGAGTGAGTCGCCGGACCTACTTAGTGGGGTCCTCGGTGGTGAAGGTGAGGATGAGCTGGGAGAGGTGCAGGGACCCCCCCTAATCTGCTCTGGGGGGGTCCCCGGGGCAGGTGAGGGTGAAGATGAACCGTGACAGGAGGGGGATCCCTACTCAGTGTGGGGGGTCCCTGGGGGCAGGTGAGGATGAGCAGGGACTCCCCTCCTCAGTCTGAGGGGTCCCCGGGGGCAGGTGAAGGTGAGGATGAGCCAGGGCAGGAGGGGGGACCCCAACTCAGTGGGGGGGGACCCTGGGCGCAGCTGAGGATGAGCCAGGGCAGGGAGTGGGCACCCCCCTACTCAGTGTGGGGGGCTCTCAGATGAGCCGGGGCAGGTCAGGGATCCCCCTACTCTATGAGGTCGAGAACAAGCCAGAACAAGAGCGGAGGCCTCCTAATTGGTGTGGGGGGGGACTTGGGAGGGCTCCAGGAAGTTCCTGAGGGCGATGACGAACCGGGGCAGGACGGAGACCACCAGGAACGGCCCGGCCGCGTAGTGCACGACCACGTGCCTGTACGGCGCGCGTCGGGGCCTGGCAGCCTTGTGCCCAGCTGCAGGGCGCAGGGCAGCACCGTGTCGCCACCGCAGCGGCATCCAGAGCTGTGTTCCTCTCCGGCGACCGGGAGGTCTCGGCCTGGCAGGGCCAGCCCCCGAGCACTGCCACACCCGGACCAGGAGGCGAAAAGGCCGTGTGTCTGGCCGCAGCCACGCCGGTCGAACAGGCCTGTCCAGGCGAGGACCTGCGTGGGGGGCTCCGCGGTTTGGTGTTCCCCCCACCCCAAAAAGGGGCTGGGGGTAGGTCTTCGGGGTAGCCCCCTCCTCAGATGAGTTGGGGGTAGGTCAGAGTGGATCCTGACAGTCTGGGGGGCAGATCCCTAGGGATAGCACCCCCCCCATCCCCAGATGTCTGGGGGCTGATCCCTGGGAATAGGACCACCCCCCACCTCCCAAAAACAGTGTAGGGGGCAGATCCCTGGGGTTACTCCCATCCCAAAATAGTCTGGGGGCAGATCCCTGGGTATAGTACTCCCCAAAGAATAGCCTGGGGGTAGATTCCTGGAGTTAGTACCCCCACACACATCCCAAAAACAGTCTCAGAGGAGATCTCTGTGTAGCCCCCTCCCCAAATGGTCTGGGGCAGATCCCTGGGGCTGTTCCCCCCAACACCTCCCAAAAACTGTGTAGGGGGCAGATCCCTGCAGTTAGTCCCATCCCAAAATGGTCTGGAGGCAGATCCCTGGGGCTGTTCCCCACAATAGCCTGGGAACAGATCCCTAGGGATAACCACCCTTCACCTGGAGGGGCTGATCCCTGGGGATATCCCTTTCCACCCTGGAAGGCTGAACCCTGGGGATACACCCTGCCACCCTGAGGGGCTCATCCCTGGGGATACCCCCCCTCCACCCTGGAACACTGATCCCTGGGGATATCCCCCATCCTCCCTGGGCACTCACCAGTCGAGGTCGATGCCAGCAGCCGTGGCCAGGCTGTGCAGGGCCAGCGCACTCAGCATCAGTACCACAGCCACCGCCACGAAGAACCGGAACACGCGGAAGTTGGGGGGGCAGCGCTGCAGCCCCCAGCCCAGCGCCGACCCTGGCACAGGGGACAGGCAGGTTTGGGACTGGGATGGACTGGGAAAGGGGCTCGAGGGAAGGGGAAGGTGCCCCCAACGCCCTGAGCCAGGATGGGGTGTTGGGATATGTGTGCCCCCCACTCCCCTCACCTGCCAGGATGCCGGTGACCACCTGGTGGGGGAAGTGGGCCAGGACAAAGATCCGGGAGAGCCCCATGGCCACCAGGAAGAGGATGTAGGCAAGGAAAGGGATCAGCCTCAGCACCCGGCTGGAAGGGAACTGGGGTCAGTGATGGAGGGAGGCAGCCCCTGGCTCCTGCTCTGGCCAGGCAGGGCAGGACTGATCCCACCGAGCAGCAGGAATGGGTGAAGCAGAGGTGAAGAAGGCAAGAAAAAGTGTTAGGGGGGGTCTCACAGCCTCTTCCTGAGCTGCCAGGGCATGTGTCCCCCTGGAGCTGCCCTGCTGGGAGGGGAAGGGATCCTACTCACCCCCTGCTGAGGAGGGGTCCCACATCCCACCCGCCTCTTCCCAAAGGTGCTCTGGAAGCTTCCAAGAATTGCCCATCCCAGACTCCCCCTGCCACCAAGGAGGGGTCCCACATCCTATCTCCTCTTCCCACAGGTGCTCTGGAAGCTTCCAAGCATTGCTTTCCCCATCTTAGGACTCATCCAGCCCACCTCCCTGTTCCCAAAGGTGCTCTGGAAGCTTCCAAGCTCTGGTTTCCCTATCCCAGATTCACCATGCCCACTTAAGAAAGGTCCCACATCCCACCTCCCTCTTCCCACAGGTGCTCTGGAAACTTCCAAGCGACAGTTTCCCCATCCCAGGACTCATCCTGCCTATCCCCCATGGGTGCTGCCTGCCAAGGAGGGGTGCCACTCCTATCCCCTCTTCCCACAGGTGCTCTGGAAGCTTCCAGGCGCTGCCCATCTCAGACTCACCTGCGGGTGCTCCGGGCCACCTCAGCTGTCAGTGCGGTGACAAGTGGCCACAGGGCCGCCCCGGGGATCATGCAGTGGCCTGAGGGGCTCCCTGGGTGGGGGGAAGCACATGGAGGGTCGGGGGGAGCTTGTCCCAGCGGGATGAGAGCTGGGAATGTTGAGCCTAACCCTGCCTGCACCCAGGGATCCCTCCTGGCTGGGCCTGGAGGCTCAGGGATAGGGATGGAGCCGGTGCCTGAAACTCCAGGCACGTTTACAGGGAGCCCAGGTGTAGCAGTGACATTCCCAGACTCTCCCGTGGGTTTCCTGGCCCCGGAGCCGTTGGTGCCGCAGGGCTGTGCCAGCGCCGGCGGCGTCGGACCCGCTCCCTGCTGCTCCCTCATATTTCCTGGCTGAGGAGCGGCTTTTCCCGCTTCCAGCCCGGCATTCCTTCAGGGGTGGAGCCTCCTGGCTCCTGTGGCTCCTCCCCAGGGATCACCGGGTTGTCCGGGACACATGAAGGCTTCACTTGTGACTCACCTGGTCCCGTTTCACAGGTGACTGGGAACTGGCGCAGTGGTAACTTCTCCAGCTCCTCCTGGGAGAACAACCCGGACTCATGGATCCACCAGTACGGGCGTTCCCCAAACAGGAACCTTGAGGGACGGAAAACACAGAGCCTTCCCACCCATCCCAGGGGATCCAGGAGGGCAGGATCCCTGCACCCATCCTGGGGGATCCATGAGGGCACAATCCCTGCTACCCACCCCAGAAGACCGGGAAAGGCAGGATCCCTGCCACCTATTCCATGGTATTGGGGATTTGGGAAGACAGAATCACTGCTAACCATTCTGGGATTTCAAGGGATGAAGCCAAAGTGGGATGGCAGGATTCCTGCACCCATCCTGGGGGATCCATGAGGGCAGGATCCCTGTACCCATCCCAGGGGAACCCAGCATGGAGCCGCAGCAGGAGGGCAGGATCCCTGCCACCCATCCCAGAGGATTGGAAAGGGCAGAATCCCTGCCACCCATTCCATGGTATCTGGGGATTTGGGAGGGCAGAATCACTGCCAACCATTCTGGGATTTCCAGGGACAAAGCCCCAGCAGGAGGGCTGCCATTCATCCCGGGATTACCAGGGATGGAGCCACAGCAGGAGGGCAGGATCCCTGCCACTCTTCCCAGGATTTCCAGGGATATATCCACGGTGGGAGGGCAGGATCCCTGCACCCATCCCAGGTCGCCCATGAGGGCAGGATCTCTGCCACTCATCCTGGGATTACCAGGGATGGAGCCACAGCAGAAGAGCAGGATCCCTGCCAGTCCTGATGCCTCCTGGGGTTTTCTCTGCCAGGGATTCCTGGCAGATGCCTGGGGCAGCTCGGGTGACCCTGCGGAATGCTGCAGGGAGTCTGTGCCCAGAACTCCAGGAGTTTCCCTGAGCTGTGTCCCCATGCCAGTGCCACCCCCAGTACCACCCCCAGTGCCACCCCCTCACCATTTGAGGACCACGTTGAGCCACTCGGCCACGAGCCCGATCCAGAGCACCATAAGCCCCACCCGGGCATCCAGCCCGTGGGCCAGCGGGAAGCAGAAGGTGTAGATGGATTTGGGATCGAAGTGGGATGTCAGGTAGACCCAGAACTGCTCCAGCCAGGGCGGCCCAGCCTGCAGGGCCAGGGCTGCCCAGATCCCGGCCTCGTGCAGGGCATCCATGGCACCCGGCTGGCACATGGGGACAGAGGTCAGCTGGGCACAGATCCCTTGGGAATCCCCCTGGGAAGGGGCTGGGAGGTGGCTGGATCCTGAGGGAATCCCTTGGGAAGGGGGTGGGAGGTGGCTGGACCCTGAGGGATGGGATGTCTTGTGAAGGGCCTGGGAGGTGGCTGGATCCCAAGGGATGCCTTAGCAAGGATCCAGGGAGTCATTCACCACCTGAAGTTTGCCCACAAGGGACTTCCAAACTTCTGCTTGGGGGTTCCCAGCAGAGCAGAGCTGGGAGTCAGGGATGGGGGCCAGGGCAGGATCTGGGGGAATCCCTGTGGGAATTGCTGGAGCAGCCAGGTTGCTCCAAAGAGCCCTGGCCTCCCTGGGGACTCCTTGGGGTCTTCCCTTGGAAAGTTCCTTAGGGTCATTCTGGAGCAGGCCCGGGGTCCCCCTGGGGTCTTCCCTGGAGCCAACCTGGGGAGTCTTTGGGGTTTCCCTGGGGTCTCTCTAAAGAAGATCCTGGGCTTCCCTGGGAACCCTTTGGGGGTCTCTCTGGAGGAGGACTGGGATTTCCCCTGAGACTTCCCTGGAGCTGACCTGGGGTCTCTTTGGGGTCTGTCTGTGGTCTCAAGCAGGGAAACTCCTTGAGGTCTTCCTGGAGCAGGACCAGGGTCTTCCTAGGGGCTCTCTGGGATCTCTTTGGGATCTTCCTAAAGCAGGTGCCAGATCTCTCTGGGCTCCGTTTGGGGTTTCCCTCTGGTCTCAGGCCTGGACCCTCCCAGGGCTCTCCCTGGCTCAGACCCCGAGATTTCCCCGGGGCCTCTCTGGGGTCTCCCTGGATCAGACTCGGGGTCTCCTCGGGCCTCCCTTGGCCTCTCAGGTCCGAGGCCTCCCTGGGGTCCCCCTCACTCCAGACCCGCGACCTCCCATTGCCCGCGTGACCCTCTGAGACGCCCTGCCGCGCTCCTCGCCGCTCCCCGCTCACCCCGGTGCGGTCGGGCGGTACCTGCGGGGGGGTCTCCATGTCGGGGGAACCCCCCAAACCGTCCCTCCCGCTGCTCTCACAGCCCCTCTTCCGCCTACAACTCCCGGCGCCCCCTGCGCGCCGCGCGCTGACGGCGGGCGGGGGCGGGCCAAACCCCCCAGGCGCGGGGGAAGGGGGCGGGACCCCGCGGGTGCTCGAACCAATCACGAGGCGGGGCGGAGCAGATCGCGGGGCGGAGCGCCAATCCCGCCCTCGCCGCCGAGGACGGCCCGCCCCTCGCCGCGCCTGGGCCGAGGCGAGCGGGAGCCGCGGGCGCTGCGGCGGGCAGATGGGGCGCCGGGCGAGTACTTCAGCGTGGGCAGCCAGGTGTCCTGCCCGCACCTGCAGGAGCACGCCTCCGGCGAAGGTCGTCGCCTTCGACTACCCCAGCAAGATGCTGCGCTCAGTTATCCGCCCGCCTGTGTTTCGTTCCCGGTGGTCCCCGGGCCCGCCGCGGCCCGCCGGCCTCTGCGGCCGCTCCGATATGATGGGGGGGCGGTGAGGGAAGAGGGAGGGGAAAGGGGAGGGAAGGGATGAGGGTCTGAGGGGATCGAGGTGGGCGGCGCCGGGGAGGGGTTTGGGGGGGAGCGGGGAGACCCCCGAGGAGGGAGTGGGGAGCGCTGTATTGGGGTGAAGGGGGTGCCCTTCAGGGGAGTTTGGGGGGGAGTGGGAAGCCTCTTTATTGGGGCGAATGGGGGAGTGTGAGGAGCCCTGATTTGGGGTGAATGGGGGGAGTGGGGGATGTCCTATAGGGTTTTTTGGGGGAAGTGAGGAGCCTTGTATTGAGGTGAATGGGAGGGTGTAAGGAGCCCTGTTTTGGGGTGAAGGGAGGGAAAGGGGGTGCCCTCTAGAGAGGATTTTGGGGGGAGTGAAGAGCCTTGTATTGGTGTGGTTGGAGGGGAGTGAGGAGCCCGGTTTTGGGGTGAATGGGGGAACGGGGTGTCTTACAGGGTTTTTTGGGGAGGGAGTGGGGTGATCTGTGTTGGAGTGAAGGAAGGGAAAGGGGATGCCCTATAGAGAGGTTTTGGGGGGGAGTGAAGAACATTGGATTGGAGTGAGTGGGGGGAATGAGAAGCCCTGTGTTGGGGGGAAGGAAGGGAAAGGGAGTGCCCTATAGAGAGGTTTTTGAGGGGGAATGAGGTGTCCTGTATTGGGGTGAATGGAGTGAATGTGGTGTCCTATAGGGGTTTTTTTGGGTAGGGGAATTGGGGAGCCCTGCATTGGGGTGAGTGGGGGGTGGTGTGCCCTATAGAGTTTTTTGAGGGGGAATGAGGTGTCCTGTATTGGGATGAATGGGGTTGGGAGGTTTTGGGGGAGAGTGAAGAGCCACTGTGAGGTTATTGGGGGAGGCACCATATAGGGAGGGTTTTTTGAGGGCGAGTGAGGAACCCTGTACTAGGGTGAATGGAGCGGTGTGAGGAGCCCTATATTGGGGTTAAGAGGGGGCAAGGGGGTGCCCCATAGAGTTTTTTGGGGGGCAATGGGGAGCCTGGTATTGGGGTGAAGGAAAGGGCAAGAAGGTGCCCTATAGAGAGGTTTTGGGGAGGAGTGAAGAGCCTTGTGTTGAGGTGGTTGGGGGAAGTGAGGAACCCTGTATTGGGGTGAGTGGGGGAGTGAGGTGTCCTATAGGGTTTTTTGGGGTGAAGTGAGGTGCCCTCTATTGGGGTAAATGGGGGGTCAAGAGGATGCCCTATAGAGAGGTTTGGGGGGGGAGCGGGCTGGTTTTGGGGGAGCCCTTTAGTGGGGTGAATAGGAGAGAGTGGGGAACCCTTTAGTGGGGTTATTAGGGCAAAGTGGGGTGTCCTATAGAGGTTTTTGGGGGGAATGGGGCACCCTGTAGGGTAGTTTTGGAGGGAGTGAGGAGCCCTTTAGTGAAGTTACTGGGGGGGGAAGGTGGGAGTGCCTTATAGGGAGGTTTCGGGGGACTCAGGAGCTCCAGAATGGGGTTATTGGGGAGCCCTCCAATGGGGTTTTGAGGGGGTGGGTGCCATGTAGGAGGGTTCTGGGGGATCCCTGTAGGGGATTTGGTGGGGGTGTGTAGCTCCATGGGTTAATCCACAGGGCTGGAGGGGTTTTCGGGGGGACAGGGGCACCCTGTGGGGTTCAGGGAGGAGGAGGGAGGTCTTGAGAGGGGCCAGATTTTGGAGCCCTGGGGGGTTCCTGGAAGGGGTTGGGGACCTATTTTGGGGTGCAGAGAGGGCACAGATGGGTCCTGTGTGGTGGGCAGGGCCTGGGGGGGTCCAGGGAGGATGGGGGAGGCCTGGAGGGGTGGGATCCCATAGGAAGGGGGTCAAGAGACCCCTGTGGGGGATTTAAGGGGAGTCAGAATGAGGTCTGAAGGTTGGGGGCTGCAGGGGGGTGTAGGGGAAATTTGGGGACACAAGTGGACTCTCCAGTGTGCTGGGAGAAGACCTTGGGAAGTGAAGGAGATGAGGGGGTTTGGGGGTGCTGTGGGCCCCCCAGTATACATGTATTTGTATATGCTTTTGTTTGGAATCTGCAAGGAATGGGAAAAGCCAAGGGCTGTTGGAAAACTGTGGAGGGACCGTGGAGAGAGGGAAAAGGGGGTTCTTGGCCCTGGGTCTGGGGGTTGGAGTTCTGGGAGCCCAAGGGTGAGTTCCAGAGGGAACAAGGGGCAGGGAGAGGGGTCTGTGGCAGTAGCTGTGGGAAACACGATGGGAAAAGCCTCCCTGGGTGTCTGGGATGTGGTTGGAGTTGGAGGAGCTCCCAGATGCCACTGGGGGCAGCAGGAAAATCCAAGAGGATTTCCAACAGGTGTCTCAGTGCTGCTGGTCTGCTCCAGAGGGGACTGAGTGCTCCCCTTCTGGCTTTTCCCTGAGCCTGCCTCTTCCTCATGCCAAAGTTGGGATGCTCCAGCTCATCCTCCTGAAGGAAGAGACTGGAATTCTGTGAAGGAATTCCCTGGCATCCCTTGCTTTCTTGTCATTATTGAATGGCATTTTTTAGGGAGGGCTCCACCTTGGGCTCACAGGGGGCTGGGAGAGAGGAACTGGGACTTCCACAAGGATCTCTTCCATGAGGAGATGATGTTGGCATGGAAGAGGGTCTCCATGCTGTGCTCCCTGCTCTGTCCATCCTCATAAGAACAGATAGTGCAGAAATCCGTGCAGTCCATGAATTGTCAGTTCTGGAAGGGTGTGGGGGTATTTGCAACAGTGATACCAACCTCGTGTGTGAGGGCAAGGAGGCCTTTCCTGGGAATTCTTTTCCATCTAGGTGAGGGAATGCTCCTCTGGCTGAGCCACTTCTTGCCAGAGGAAATACTCTGGTGTAAAAAGTACAGATTTGGTGGTGCTGGTTCAAACCAGTGACTGGGCTGTGCTGGGTAGGGCTGGAAAATTCAATCTGGAGTCAGGAAAACTGGGATCAGCATTAAGTAACCCCAAAAAGAGACTTGTGGCTTTCCTGGGATCATGGATGACCCCAAGCTTGGCTGGGCAGGGACACAGGAATGGAGGAACTCACTGGCAACCAAACCTTCTCCCGGTTTGCTCCTGGGCTGTGTCAAGCCCATAAATACCTCCCTCTGGATTCGTTTTCCTTAATTTTCCCCCTTCCAGAATGCCCTTCGTCCAGTGGGAAGCCCAACCACGCAGACATCCTGCTCGTAAACTTACAGTATGTGTCAGAAGTGGAAATAATCAATGACCACACGGAAACGCCTCCCCCCTTAGCTTCCCTGAACGTCAGCAAGGTAGGGGGGCACTGGGAATTCCCTCCTCCTGCTGGGATCGGGGGGGGATTGGGTGCTGGAACTCACCTGCTTCCATTGCAACAGCCCATAGTTCTATTTGGGGTCTGGGTTTGGGGATTTGGGGTCTGGGTTTGGGGATTTGGGGTTTGGATTTTGGGTGGGTTTGCGGCCTGGATTTTGGGGATTTTAGATCTGGATTTTGGATGTTTTGGGGCCTGGATTTTGGTGGGTTTGGAGTCTGGGTTTTGGCATTTGGGGCCTGGATTGTGGTGGGTCTTGAGACTGGATTTTGGCACTTTAGGACCAAGATTTTGAGCATTTTGCCTCTGGATTTTGTTGGCTTTGGGTCTCAGTTTTGTCGGGTTTAGGCCCTGGATTTTGATGGGTTTGGATTTTGGTGGGCTTAGGGTCTGGATTTTGGGGCAATTGGCCCTGGATTTTGGCAGTTTAGGCCCTGGCTTTTGGGCATTTTGGATTTGGATTTTAGCCATTTTGGGCCCTGGATTTTGGGTATTTTGGATCTGGATTTTGGTGGATTCAGGGTCTGGATTTTGGTGGGTTTAGGCTCTGGATTTTGGTGGGTTTGGGGCCTGAATTTTGATAGTTTTGGGGCCTGGATTTTGGGCATTTTGGATCTGGATTTTGGGTGGGTTTGGGGCCTGGATTTTGGGTGGTTTATGTCTAGATTTTGGGCATTTGGGGTCTGAAGTTGTGGTGTTTTGGGGCCTGGGTTTTGGTGTTACAGATCTGGATTTTGGGTGGTTTTGGGGCCTGGATTTTGGTATTTTGGGGCTCTGGATTTTGGGTGACTTGTGTCTAGATTTTGGACACTTTGGGTCTGGATTTTTGGTGCTTTGGGACCTGGGGTTTGGGGCCTGGATTTTGGTATTTTATGTCTAAGATGATGGCATTCTGGGGCCTTGATTTTGGCATTTGGGGTCCAGATGACAGTATTCTGGGGCCTGGATATTCTGGTATTTTTGGGCCTGGATTCTGGCAGTTTGGCTCTAAGTGATGGTGTTTGAGGCCTGGACGAAGCTGAGTGGTGGCACAGCAGACAGGAGGGACAAAGCGCATGTGGATTTTGAGGAATCCCTGGAATGGGATCGCTGCTGATTCCCAGCAGTGCTGTCAGAGAAAGGGAAGGTGACCCCAAACCCTCGGTGCTGGGATGAGTCTAGGTGTGGGGCCTGGCTGTAGGGGTCTCAACTGTCACCTCCTCATCCCACAGGGACACTTCTCCCAGTGGTTGGTGTCACACAGATGGCACCAACCGGGTGTCCGTCCCTTCCCGATGGATTAGGGTTAGATTAACACATCGGAGGAGGTCTCGGGTGACACAGCTGTTATCAAGATGTGACTGTTGGCTGTCACTGGCATCACTGGGAGCGCAGCCCAAGGGGAAACCCCTCAGGAATTCCAACACTCTGGTCTTTTCCCGCATCCACATAATTGTGGGGAAGTAATGGATGGTTGTGTTCCAGCCACTGGAATGTCCATGTTCCCAATCCAATGGCAGGAGAGGGGTTCTGAGAGGCTCTGACCCCACGTTTCTTTCCCCATGGATGCACAAGCATCTGGTGTTGCTGCAGGACTGGAGTATGGATGGCTGATTCTGGTTGTACTGGGAGAAGATTTCAGAATTTGGGGTCTGGATTTTGGCGTTTGGGGGTCTAGATGGTGGTGTTTTGTGTGTTGGCACAATGGGAATTGTGGTGCTCCAGGTGCTCCTCTGGAAGGCCCAAGAGAGGAAGCAGAGCTCCAGAGAACCTCGCCTGGTTCTCAGTGGAGAGAGACTGTTGGGAGCAAAGGCTTGGAAAACAGCAGGATCCAGAACCCCTGTTGGAAAGGGATGGGGGGCAGTGGTGGGAGGTGATCCCCCAAGCTGTGCTTGGCACCTGAGTGGGATAAGGGACCATTCCGGCTTTGGGAGGCCCTGGAATGGCCCTTGGTGGCCCCCACCCTCTCCTTGTGCCTCCTGCTGCATATTCCCGTCATTCATCCAGAGGGAGCAGGGAAGTGACTCATCCATTCATTCCACCTCACACAAGGTGTGTGTCCCTATTCCAGCTTTTCCAGCAGCCCTGGAGATGCTCCCTGCAGGGGGAATACTGGGATTCCTTGGAATGCTTGAATCCAGAAGGCTGGAGAGCTTGGTGGTTCTGATCCGTTTTTTGTTGGGAAACATGGATGGGTAGGGAGAGCACACCCTATTGCAGGGGGATGAGGAGCACAGGGATGGATCCTGATAGAAATGCTGGGATGCTGCCCAGGCTGGCAGCTCTTCATCCTCACCTCTCTGGTGTTTCCAGTCTTCCCTCACTGGCCTCTTACCAGGGCTGTTCTCAAATCCCAAATCTGGATGCCGCAGCTGCTGGAAGAGCATCCCAAGGCCTGGGAAAGAGAGAGGCTTTGGATAAAGTGAATCTAAATCTCAGGCTGGGGAATGGTGATCTGCCGGATGGAAGGGGTCTGGGTGGGAAGGGGGATCTACTGGCTGGGAAGAGGATCTCTGGGAAGGGGATCTATCTGGGAAAGGTATCTGCTTCGGGGAGCTGAGCTGGGCACGACAGAGGTGATTCCCAGTGCTCAGGGCCACAATTCCAGTCCATCCCAGCTCGATGGGGGGAAGCTTTGACACAGGTGATGGAACTGGGGGCGATCTCAGTTCTCCAGCCTTGGGGCATCCCCCCCAGATGGACAAGGGGTTGTGGCATCCCCACAGACAGCTGGGGATGACGTGGGGTGCAGGAAAATTCCTGTGGAATGTTGTGGTCAGTTTGGAAGCCTGACTGGTGGTCTTGGAATGAGCAATTCCCACATGGAACGGGGTGGGAGGCTTTGGGGACTGCTTGTGCTGGGGGTGAGGAAGGATCCCATCCCTCCTGAGGTTTTCTTTGCTCCATGGAAGGCTGGGAAGCACGTGGGGAGCACCCCAGTGCTCCTTCAGTGACTCCTGCTTCCCTGGACATGGAGAGAAGACGTGGGATGGCTTGGACAGGGACACCTGTCCCTTGAGAGCACAAAAGTGTCCCCAGTCAGTGGGAGCTCGGGCTTTCTGTATCCAGAGGGGCTTTGGAAGGGGTGGAACCCCCCTCACACAGGAAGCCAGTCCGGCTTGGGAAGCAGGGAGGTTCCAGGAGGAGGAAGAGGAGGGGCAATGCTAATGAGCTCTTCTACTGTGGCAGCTCCAGCTGGGAAAAGGCCCAGGAAAAGGTGGCTGGTCCAGGGCTCCTGCCTCCACACACTGTGTCCTTCTCCTCCCACATCCATGAGATGCCAAGATTGGGCTTTCCTTTCTTTATTCCAGGACCCTGTGTGGAATCACATTTCCCCACACATGGATGCAACTCCCAGATAACCAATTCTGCCCTTATTTTGGGAACAGAGTAACTGCTCTGGGATAAAGTTCCCCATCCTCCTGTGTGGAGCATTTACTCCCAACGTAATGGTTATTCCAGGTTCATCTTCCCCATCTCCATCACCCGAGAAAACCAAGTAGTGAAGGTGGTTTGGACCTAAAATGCCAGAATTATTCTGAAAAAGGCCGAGGGGAAGGGATAGGGGGATGTGAAAAGGTGACACCCACATTCCCCAAATATCAGGGGGATGCTGGCAGTGCCTCAAAAAAGGAATTAAGGCTGGAATTGTGCGGAGAAGGGATGGTGGGAGGGTGGGGATGTCACATTTGTTGTTATCCTGATTTAATGGGGAGTGGCAGAGCTGTGCCTGGGGGGGTCCCTTTGTCCCCTCAGAGCTCTGGGGTGACACCCAGCCAAATTCCCTCTCCCTGTGTTCTCCCAGCTTGCCAACAAAGCACGGACAGAGAAGGAGGAGAAGATGAGCCAGGCATATGCAATTAGTGCTGGTGTCTCCCTGGAGGGGCAGCAGCTCTTCCAGACTATCCATAAGACGTAAGTCCCTTCCCTCGGGATCACTAGTCCCTCCCATGCTCTGTTTTGGGGTCACTCGTACCCTTTTTTGGGGGGAATTCCCATTGCTTGGTCCCTTGGGTTTGCCATGGAATGGTGCTCATGTGTGTCCTGGGATGTGCTGGATGGAGCCATGGAATCCTCAGGGAGGGAAGATAGCTCTCTTCCTGCTCCCTGCCCCTTCCTGGCACATCCCATCCCCTTGACTCCCATCCCTCTCTAGTTGGATACCCTGGAGCGACTGAGGGGCTTTTTGCTCCCCCTCAGTGAGACACTGCAGGGCAGGTGGTGGCTTTCCCAGGTCAGGCAGCATTCCCTGATCCCGTTTTTCCCTCCCCTGCAGCATTAAAGACTGTAAATGGCAGGAGAAGAACATAGTTGTGATGGAAGAAGTCGTTATTGCTCCTCCGTACCAGGTGGAAAACTGTAAAGGCAAAGAGGGAAGCGCTCTGAGTCACGTACGGAAAATAGTGAGTATGGGGAGGACTGGGGATACTGGGAATACTGGGAGGGTGTCACAGCCCTGGGGACACCTGTGGTCCATCCCTTGGTGGGCTCCAGCCCCTCCTGGGCATCGCCTTCCCTCTCCAAATCCCCTTCCCATCATTTTTTGAGTCACATCACAAAATAGTGAGTACAGGTTGGGGGAGACTGGGGACACTGGAAGGGTGTCACATCCCTGGGGGCCCCTGTAGCCCATCCCTGGGTTGGTTCCAGCTCCTCATGGGGCTCTCCAGCCCCTCTTGTGGATCTCTTTCCCACCCTGAATCCCCTTCCCACCCTTTTCTGAGTCACATACACAAGAATGAGTAGGGACTGGGGATACTGGGAATACTGGCAGGGTGTCACATCCATGGGGACAGCCAGTATTCCTCCTTGTTTGGTCTCCAGTCCTTCCTGGTGATCTCCAGCCTCTCTTGGGCATCCCTTCCCACCCCATGGATCCCCTTCCTGCCCCAGATCCCCTTCCCACCCTTTTTTTAAATACATTAAATAGTGAATAGGGACTCGGGGGACTGGAGACACTGGTTATACTGGCAGGGTGTCACATCCCTGGGGACACCTGTGGCCCATCCCTGGGTAGATTCCAGCCCCTTCCCACCCCATATCCCGTCCCCACCTTTTTTTTTTCCCCCTAAACACATCTCTTTCTCCCCCCCATCCCACCCTTCCCAATGCAGGTGGAGAAACATTTCCGGGACGTGGAAAGCCAGAAGGTCCTGCAGCGTTCACAAGCACAGCAGACACAGAAGGACACGTCCCTGTCATCCTGAGGCCATCTCGGGATGAGATCGCCCTGTCCCCGTTGTCCCCTCCCTCCCGGGAGGCGGCGCCGGGGGCACCTTCACGCTTTTATTTCCTTTTTTTTTTTTTTTTTGGGGGGGGGGGAATCTCAACTCAAAATTCCAAACTTTAGAACTTAAAAAAAAAAAAAAAAAAAAAAACAAAAACGAGAAAAAGAGAATAATTTAAAAGCTCCTCTTCACGCATTACTTGACTAACAGACTTTGTTTTTTCTCTGCCATGTTTTCTCCCCTCCAGCAGGGCAGGTTCTGTTAATTTTATTTTTTGGCTTTTTTTTTTTTCCTTTTTTTCTCCCAGTTTCTACCTTTCCCTCTCCCCCCCCAAAAAATGCCCAAAAAGTAAAATTACAAGCTCACTGCTGTGGCCAACCCGGGACCCTCGTGACCAACATGGTCTCGTTTTAATTTTGTTTGCACAGGGCAAGGCTTGAATTAGTCTTATTTTTCTTATCTTTAAATATATATATGAATATATATTAAAATGTTCTTTAAATATTTGCTTCTAGCAGGATTGTGGCAAAAAATCCCCCCTAACGCCCATCCCAGGATCATCCAAAACCTGGATTTGGGGTTCCCCCCCACTTATTTCCTTTATGTTTTTAATTTTTTTGCCCTTCTTCATTTAGTTTTTAATTTTTTTAATTTCTTTTTTTTGCCACAATCCTCTCCCTCCCCTTTTTTGTTTGATTTTTTTTTTTTTGAAAACAAAAAACAAATGGATCAAACTCAAAAAACAATTCAAGCCCTGCCTTTAGGAGAGTTAAAGATTAAAAAAAAAAAATTTAAAAAAAAAGAAAAAAAAAGGAAAATTTTTTAGTCTTGTTTAGCAAAAAAAAAACAATAAAAACCCGAAATTTTTTTAACCATCACAGGCGTCTGTTGGGGCTCAATGGAGGGGGCGGGGCCTCAATGGAGGGGGTAGAGCTTAGGGCGAGGGGGCGGACCTTGGAGTGGGGGTCAATTTCAATGGAGAGGTGTGGCTTAGGCACAAGGGGCGTGGCTTAGGAGGAAATAAGTCATTGATGGGGCAGGGCTTAGAAAGGGGGTGGGGCTTGGGGCAGGG